GTCAGGGCGGCTAGAGAAGGCAACGGCACAGGGAGTGACTGGGATGCAGGAGGGAAGGCAGGGATGGAGGGAGAAGGCTGGAGGGAGGAGGGAGGCTAGGATGGAGGGAGGATGGCACAGAGGGAGGAAAGAAGGCAGAGGTGGAGGAGGGATGGCTAGGATGGCTGGGGAGGGAGAAGGAAGGCAGGGATGGAGGAGGAGGGCTGCAAGTAGGAAGGTCAGGATGAAGGCTGCAGGGAGGATGCGCTCGGTGGTCCCTCTGGGTGGGAGTGGCCCCTCAGCAGCCCCTCGGGGCAGGAATCCCATCTGGCCGCGCTCACACTGTGCCGCAGAAGGAGGAGGCCGAGGCCAGGGCGCGCGAGGAGGCCGAGCGGCAACGTCTGGAGCGGGAGAAGCACTTCCAGCGCGAGGAGCAGGAGCGGCAAGAGCGGAAGAAGGTGAGCGGGGAGGGGGGCACAAGGTGGTGCAGCACAGTCCTGGCGGCTCCCCCCAGCTGCCCACAATCTCCAATGTGCCCTGCAGCGCCTAGAGGAGATTATGAAGAGGACGCGCAAGTCGGATGTGGCGGATGCCAAGGTGAGTGAGCACGTGGCCGGGGGGGTGCAAAGACCCTGCCTGGCCCGGCCCTCACACAGGGTTCCCCTCTGCCCCGCAGAAGAAGGAGGACAAGAGGATGGTGAATGGGAAAGCTGCCGAGCAGGAGGAGATCAAAGGTATACGGTGGTGCCAGCCACCCACGCGCGAGCCCGACCCGCCGCCGCAGCTGACGTGGCTGCGCTCCCATCCGCAGGCCCCGAGAAACGCGCAGGGCCACTGGCCAAGGCTGAGGAGCTGCCCGAGTCGGAGGTGCCAGGAGCAGGGTCTCCGGGCACAGAGCCCAGGTGAGCGTGTGGGGCCGAGGCCAGTGGTGCCAACAGGGGCACCAGTGACTCCTGGCTCACGCCCTTGCCTGCAGCTCGGCCGGCCCAGAGGCGCCGGTGCTGCTGAACGGTGTGCAGGCCTGCAAGCACGAGAACGGCTTTGCCGGCAGCGAGGGCGGCGCTGAGCCAGCGGGCGTGCAGGAGCGGGCGCACCACGGCCCCGGCACCATCATCCCCTTTGGTGACACCGAGCCCTTCCTCAAGAAGGCCGTGGTGAAACCCGCCCAGGTCACAGGTGAGCGCTGGGAGGGCCCTGCCAGGGTCTCCCCCCAGCGCCGCCCCGGCCCTGACGCGCTGCCTCCGCACGCGGAGGTGCTGTGAGCACCGCAGACCCCTCTGGAGGACAGCCCTGCCACACTGTGCTGCCAGCGCGGCCTGTGCCTACGTTCTCTCTTCATCCTGGTTTTTATTTCGTTTCGTTCTTTGTTTTTTAATATGCACCTTATGAGACTGACGCCCCGCCCAGCTACCTGCCAGAGCCACCCCAGACGTGTGCTGTAATAATGTAGTTATTTAACTTGCTGGGTACCATGTATGTGAATACTGTAAATAGTGTGGGCGGGCACGGGGCGTGGGCTGGGAGCTCCCCATGCCCCCATGACAGTGTTATGCACCTGGACAACATCTGCGTTAATAAAGTGGACACACCACAACGATCTCGTATTCTCGTGTCACAGAGCCCCAGGGGGACACAGGCCGCCATGGCGGGGGAAGGCCCTCCCGATCCCCCTCGCCACCAACGGAGCCTCTTCCCCCAGATCCCCATGAGAGGCTCAGCGCCCTGTACGTCCCCCCCGCTCAAGGGCCTCAGTGCCCCCTCCGAGCGTCCTAAAGGACGCAAA